TGATGAACTCACTTTCTTGTGAGTCTGAAAACAGATCAATCTGCAATGAGTTTATAGCTAAAAGAAGCAGTTCAATTAGCTTAAGACTCCAGGTGCAGCCAACACAGCCTTGAGAAAGCCAGAATGCAGCCAGCTCCGTATCATTTCACTTAGCAGTTGCTGCTGAATGTCCCTGGTGGCAGATGAGAGGGCAAGACTTGCGGGTGCAACAACAGACAAGAAAAAGACAATCTCTTACCAAAGGGGATGTATAATCTGCTGTGAGAGACCAAATCTAAATTTTTAAAAAGTGTATGAATAGTTATTAACAAGTATAATTAACTCTGGTAAGTGCTATATAGTGAAAGTATTTAATAAAAGAGTAGCCAAAATGGCTCCCCTTTTTCAAGACACTTTACTAGTATCTGCTAGCAAACTGCCATAATACATATTCGAGTCCCCTTCATGTCTTTGGCATGAAGGCATCCTGTGAGCTATTGCAGTTGTGCAACCTGCACATGTCTGTAGGGGCCCTGTAGACCAGATGTCATGAAACCTTACTTAGCACAAAAGCATTGGGGAAGTCCTTGATGAAGTGGCATCAATGCTGACATTTAAAGACTCTGTGGTATCTCTCCAGGTGAAGCGGCACAAAGGGACCATTCTAGGCAGGGAACAGCATATGTGAAGGGCATTGATGAACAGCAATAGAGCACATTTGTGGAACTGAAGGGAAGCAAAGGTACCTGAGCCTGGGGGTCAACAAAGTATGAAATAAGTTAAAATGGCAGTCAAGGCACTCTAGGCTCTAACAAATATGTTTAAGATTTTGGATTGTAGCCTAAGAGTAACAGAGAGGCATTGAAGAATCTTAGGCAAGAGATTAGAAGGCTCAGATTTGGGATTTTTGAGACATTACATTTTTTAAGAAGATTTTATTTATTTATTTTTAGAGAGATGGGGAGGGAGGGAGAAAGAAAGGGAGAGAAACATCAATGTGTGGTTGTCGCTTGCGCTCCCCGCACTGAGAACCCCACCTGCACGTCAGGCCTGTGCCCTGACTGGGAATGAAACCAGCAACCCGTTGTTTCACAGACCAGCATGCAATCCACTGAGCCACAGCAGCAAGAGTGAGACATTACTTATCTTTAATTTGTAGAATGTATTGGAGGGGCAAGAGCAGGTGTGAGAAACTCCATATTGCATCAACATCATGCACTGTTAGAACAGTGGACACATGGTCCTGTCCAAAACCTTCATGGAGACATTTGATCTACACCAAAAGGTCTTTGAAATTGATCCTATCAAAAACCTACATAAGCATATTTGCTCCATGTCAAATGGCTGATATTTAGTCCTGTTCAAAGCATCCATGCTTAGAAAACATCCCTGAGTTCAAAAAGCCCATAAGGTTTATTTATATTTTGGGTTTATAGGATTAATACATAAAAAAATATTATCTTGTTATTGGTCCAATGTGCTATGGTTATACTGCCGATAATAACCCTTCTCACCTTGGTAGCCTAGCTGGTAATGACACATGGGATTAGGGAGATGGGATTTTGAACAGGACCCAATATCAAGGACTAAATATTAAGGGCCTTTTGGTGTGGTCTAAATGTCTCAGTGGACCTTTTGGACAGGACCAAATGTCTTGCAAGGGCACTGATATAACAAAAAGGCATCTTAGTGTGCCACATTAGTGAGCAAGAATGTATCAGGACGAAAAGGCATGGAAGCACACGTGCAAAGGCATGGAAGCCTGACACCCAGTTGTGTGTTTGCCATGTTACCTGCGCCGATGGTGCTAAGGTGGGAGCCCGGTGGAGAATGGAGGGACATGGATGTGGAGAGTCGCAAGGGTTGAGTGCTGCACCGACTGAGAGGGTGCGCTGATGTTGTGGGTGGATTGCTTGGTGGAGGCGGTACTTCATGGCTTTGAGGAGGGAATGTTTGCAGAGAGAACAGTGGTAAAACTATTATAATGGTCTAGGTGAGAGATGACTCAACCCAAAGGCAAGACAATTGCTGAGAAAATAGAGAGGAGATGATAGTTTTGAGAATTATTTAGAAAATTGAATTGGGAAGACTAGTAGTTTGAATATATACAGAAGTTAAGGGGAAGGGAGAGCTTAGAATTACTGTAGGCTTATGCTTAAGTGGCCAACTGAATGATGGTACCACTAACTGAAACAGGAAATATAGGAGAAATCACAGCAAGCTTTGGAGGGGGTGCATCATGAATTCAGGTTTGTCGAGGCTATATTTGAGGCACATGTGAAGCATTTGTTTGTGTACTTGATGTAGGACTATCTAATGCTGGGGAGAGTCAGTGCTGAAGAGATAAAGGGCAGTTAGAGCCATGCAGAGGAATAAGGCTGCCATGGTGAGAATGGCAAGAAAATCAACCTGATGAGAAAATGCTGCAGAAACCTTACCATTTAATGGGGATCTTGCTAAACACACCCTCCTATAACTATTGTTTTTTGGAAAAGATTGCTTCTGCATTTCTTCCCTCACATGACATCATTTTGTTCAATCAGCACATTGCTACAGCCAGAAAAATCTGTGTTTGAACCCAGCTCTAATATTGCCAGCTGTGTGAACCACCTGAATAAAACCAAAAGCAAACAAACAAACAAAAACAAAAAACACCTACCCAATATGGTAAATGATTGCAAAGGAATAATAGATATTGCAAACACCCTTTCCAAAATGTGTAGCACAGGCCAGTCGTATCTTTGATGTATGAAATCATAAATAAATAGCCAAATAGGTTGCAGATATATAGAAAGATAAAAGGATAGTTCTGCTCTTCTCAGCTCTTGTTCTTAACATATTTTTTTACTTTCTTTCTGACTTGGATACCTCTCAATTTTTGTGAACTTTAAACTTCTCACTAGTAGGAAGTGGACTCCAAGATGTTTGGAAATTCTTTTTCTGCTATCTTCCTGAGAGACAGACAGAGAGAGAGAGAGCGAGAGAGAGAGCACCTCAAAATACACAGAGATCTCAGCTGGTCCAATGTTTTGTGAAAGCAGATGTTATCTTCTAACGAGAGTTTGCAATCAGACTTAAATATAAGATTTGATAATACTTATTTTCAAAACTCCTAAGGTGTCCAGAGTTGAAGGAACATTGCTGGGCAAAGAGGAGGTTTTCTGTTCTTTATATCGCACTACTCAAGAGAGCTGAGCATTTCCAAGCTGGCTAAAACTGATGGTTAAAATTCCTCTTTGGGAGTAACAGTGTCTTGAAAGAGATAGCAGTCCTCTTCTGCCATCAGCTGAGGGATGGAGTAAGTCTATCTGCCATGATGGTGTCCCAGTGTGGACATGGATGTGCGCTGTGGGAACCAGTGGGGGACCACATTTGCCTCAAGAAGTCAGTCCTAGACAGGAATCCACTCAGGTGGGAAAATAGGGTGCCTTAGTCTCCTGGAAACCTGTCTGTAAAACCTAATTAGGAAAGGGGACGCTCCCCACTCTCCTTCCGGAGCCCCTCCTGAGTCCTGGCTTCCCTCCTCCAACCCCCCTTTGCTATTCTATCTTGGCCATGGTCTCATGGGCTCCTTTGTCTGAAGGCCTCTTTCACCTAGCAGAATCTGACAAGAACCCTTGGATGGCAGAGTTATGCAAAGAAATGATGATATCCGAATTTATCTTTGGGGGTTCAGTTCTCAGAGGTATCAAAGAGAAGGCCTACAGCCATGCAGGGATTAATGTAAAAGAGACATTATCACGTGCGTGGATCAACACTGAGGCCTGAGTAAGGCGAGTGTTTTGTTCTGCAGGCAATACCACGCAGTACAGATAATAACTGCAAGGTTCATTCAGTCTGTCAGTTAGAGGATACTGAAAGGAATGGAAATATTCTATTTATGTATATTAAATCATTAATATTTTACGATCTGTCTTATTCTAATTAGATCATTTTGCTACTGTATTCGGATGGATCATTCAAATAAACAGAACTACAATTTTTCTGCTCACCTGAAAAAAAGATGTGTGCTGAGAACCATGCCTACAATAAATTCTAGATATAGTAAGAATAATCTAGATGCATACTCGCACTAAATAGACATACACTTCCTTACTACTAATCTAAACGGCTCAGAGGCACTTTGTATTAGAACGTTGGGAAGACTGCCAAATCACCCAAAAAAGGCCGTTGAGAGGGTCTGAGAACTTCATACAAAGCGGGAGACCGAGGGGCAAGCTTGGGACGCGAGGCTAAACCTTTAAGATCCTGGCGGGTTGTGAGCGGGCAGGGCAGGGCGCGGCCCCGGGCGGGGCGAGCGCGCCACCAGAGCTCCCCGCACGCGCTCCCGGGGAGCCCGACACGTCCTCGCAGCGTCCCGCCTGGCTGAGCGCCGCCAGTCTTGGGAGCCGCGAGCTGAGCCGCGAGCTGAGCCGCAAGCTGAGCCGCGGGAATTGCGCTGAGCTGAAAAGGCGCCCTCGTGCAGAGCGCGGAGCTGTGGTCTGAGAGCCCGCGCGGGGCTGCGGGTGCGCAGCGACCCCGACAGCTGAGCAGGACCCGGGAACGCGCGGTTCAGCTCCGGCCAAGGTGTCCCCTGGACCACTCCGTGCGTGTCCGGGAGCCAGAGGTAAGCTTTGCTCTTTGTAGGCGCAGTATTTGGGAGCTAGGACACCGTGCTTGAGTCTTGTCCTTAGGGACTCCGAGCGGCAATCTGACGATCTTTCCACCAGGGGACTTTGCCTGGGAAAGGAAAGGTGCCTCTCAGGAGCTAGGGAAAAGGCGCAAGAGCTCTCCTCCCCTCCCGGCACTTAGCAGAGCGCCTGTTACCTGAGGTGGAAGCTGGACAACCTTCTCCTTGTCCCGCCCCGGGGACGTGCTGACGGGATGGGCATCCGCGGGCCCTGGGTCTCCCGCACCGCCGACCTCCGCGCGCTAACCTGGGCGCGGGCAAAGTTTGCCTCTCCAGGTCCAGCCCATTCTCTCGCTTCCGCAGCCCCCGCAGGTGCAGCCTTTCCTTCGGCTCCACTAGCAGCCGCCCAACCATGGAGTCCCCGGTTCAGATCATCCGCGGAAATCTGGGCCCCACCTGCTCCCCGAGCACCTGCCTGCTCCCCAACGGCAGCGGTGGGGTCCTGGGCTGGGGCGAGCCGGACAGCAACAGCAGCGCGAGCTCAGAGGACGCGCCACTGGAACCCGCACACATCTCCCCCGCCATCCCGGTGATCATCACGACGGTCTACTCGTTGGTGTTCGTCGTGGGCTTGGTGGGAAACTCCCTGGTCATGTTCGTGATCATTCGGTGAGCGCAGGGTCCGGGCGCTGCAGTGACAGAAGCCAGGAGGGAGGGTCAGGCCGGCTACAGAGACGGGCGGTGGGGCGCCAGCCAGGTGGTGGGGGCTCTATGGCGCCTGGACAGGGCCCCAGAGATTCTCAGAGGGTGGCCTCTTAGATGTGAGTAATTTCCTGGGAGAGTGTTTCGTGGGGGTTGCGAGCTTCACACAGGTGAATCCCAGCGGCCAGAGGTTCTTGAGGACGTAAGAGTTAACCCCATTCCTCCAACCCCTCCTGAAAACTCTGCGCGGTGTAAGTAATAGGGTGTAGAACAAGGCCAAATTCTCCTAGAGAGAAAACTAGTCCATTTGCCTGGTCTTTTGCTTGGTTGCCTGTGCCAGAGAACTGTTTTGTTCTTTGAAAACATTTTTTTAAGATACAATTGAGACCCATAGATGCTCTGTGATTTATCAGATTAGTGTTATGTTTTGTGAAGTAAAAACCAGTTTACTATTTAAGGTTGTTGGTATCCATAAACTGAATTTGCTTTGCTTTTTATTCTCCACCATGAGAAATTGAAGTTTTTATGTCATTGTTCTTTTGTGGAATTATGTTGAATTCAAGTTCCAATAATAAATATCCCGCTATCCACATAATGCTAATTTTTCAGGTAAGTAAAGTGATTCTTATTTTAGCCTCTTTTCAACAAAGAAAAAGGAAAAAAAACACCCCAGCTTTGTTCTGGCTGCCCTTTGACATGTATATGTATTTCATTTTCTGGGAGACTTAATACTCTGGAGATGCACCTTTGAGAGTGAATTAGACACTTACATTCAACTGAGAAGTTCCTGCGAAATAAAGTGGGCAAGTCACTTTGTTTAGTGGCATTGAAAGGATGAGAAACTAATTTATTTTATCCTAATCTTAGTTTTAAAACAACCTTTTTATTTTATTATGAACTTTAAGAACAGTATCTATAGTAGGAGTCTGATTCTCTTGGTAAATCATTGTCATGCAAATACCTTTTTGGCTTGGGAATGCCAGGTCTTTTATCCTCGTCCATGCTCCAGAACTAAAAACCATCATTTAAACCTCCACATATATTATAAAGCTCACTTTACCTACAATTGGTGTCTGTATCTTGGTACCCTTGGTTCCTATAATAGCTTAACAGGAATTCTATCAGTGATGAGTAAAGGCTACAGAGAAGGGGGATATTTAAAAGCAAATTGTTTTTCTAAGTCATTAGTAACTTCAGGGCTGAAACTAAAAGAAAAAAAGACAGCTGTATTTTATATTACAATAAAAATTTTAAGAGATCTGTGGTACAGAAGCTGTGTTTTGTAGTAAAATGTTGTTACAGTGTTACATAAAGAGAGGACACTAAGGAAAAAACCCAAATCTATTCCTACTCATATTTAAGTCCTTGAGTAAAACAGATACAGCTTATTGTCATTGGAATGAACACCTGAAGTGTTTTGCTTGAGAAGAGTTTCTTAGCTGCTCTACAGATTTTTTTATATGGCTCTGCAGACTGGGGTTAAAAATAATGAAAAATCCTAAAATATGTATAAAGACAATGGGGAATATTAGACATGTCGGAAAGAAAAAAGAATCATTGGATTTGAGATTATATATATATATTAGATTATCTATGCATATGTTATATGTAACATATTATATATATAAAATATCCACCAACTAAATTTGTTAGAAAGGGATAAATTCAACTAAAAACACAAAAGAATTGAGTTCACATAATCACATCATTGGTCCTGCCACCTCCTTCTCAATTACTTGGAGGTTAAATCTGATAATAAGTAAAAAAATGAAGAGTTATAGTATCATCCTGAAATGCTAACCTTTTAAAATGTTGGTTTTCTTAAACCTATAGCTAAAAGGATTGCAGAGCATTTAGAATTTGTTCAGACTGATATATGGTGGAAAAATTGAAAACTAAAACTTCAGAAGAAAAGTTGGTGGACCTGGGTTTAATTGGGTCGGGTGGAGAAAGGACTGAAGACTGGAGAGGGTGGCACCGAGAGGCTCTGGGATGCTCATCAGAACTGGGTTAAAATGCAGCCTTTGTAATGGATGTTGAGGGCTGAGCAACATTGCCTGAAAAGATGGAGGCCCACTTTTGAGAAGAACACTACTTTAACCCACGTGCAAAAGGCTCCTGGTGTAGTTCAGTCATCCTGGTGTGGGAACTCATTCTGGAGATGTAATGCGGATGCGCAATGGCAGGGCAGGTGCCAGTCTGGTATGGCCAGCTGATACCTGGGGAGAAAGTTAGGGTTGTGGGAAAAACATTGACTATTTTTTGACCTGCGTTACATGTTAAAGTTTTAATTTGCTGTCATCATTTAATGTGTACCATCTGCCATGATTCCTTAATACGAAGGCACATTAAGCCTTTCACGGTGAAAACCTGAACTGTGTGGATTCCAGCCCCCTTTCCCTCCAGGCTTTAGGGCTTGTGGCCCTGGCGTCGGGAGTGCTTCCTCAGAACTCTGGCCCACGTTCTTGGGTCCTGCCAACACTGTGTGCCCATGGGCATGACACTCAGGATGCAGACCTCATGCTTTCTTCACCCCCACCCCTGCCTACACCCTGGACTTGCCAGGCAGCCCCTCCTCCAACATCTTAAACATCTATTCTCCCACTCTCTTTACAACTTCCCACACAGACTGTCTCTACTCTTTTCAAAAAATAATTAAAATTTAATAAACACTTGATATACGCCAGGCTGGTAAAGTTGCCTATTTCATGTGAATTATTTTATTTAATCTTCCAGCCATAGGTATATTACCATGACCATGTAGCAGATGATGAAAGAAAGATTAAACAAAGAAATATTAAATGAACTGAAGTCACATCTTTCTAATTTGCGGTGCTAGAATGATTCTAGCAGCCCGATGCCAGAACCTGCACTTTGGTCCGTTCTGCTGTTCGTTTTCCACTACACCGCTTCTGCAGACTTTGGGATACCTCCTTACCAGGCAGCCCTTCATTTTCTCCCAGACTACCACATTTCATCTTTTCTTACCTGGCCTAGATCCCAGGAACAATAACCTCAGCCTCTCTTGATAATATACTCAGCTACCTTGTCTTTTTGCCCTTTTGCCACTGTCTTCCACCAGCCCTTAACCCTGGATCAAGCCAGTAACCTATCTCCCTTTTTCCTATACCCTGCAAACTAAATGCTGTCAAAATCAATTTTGTGTTTGTCCTTTAAGTGTATCTGACTCCAATTCTGCCTAGTTTTTCTGTGTCTCTCTCCTATTTTCCAGAAGGAACCAGTTCATTTTACCATTTCCCATTTACAAAAAATTACCTGATACTAATTCCCAAGCCCTCTAACTGACCATACTCCTCTCATGGTCAGCAAGTGTGCACTGCCATACCAGCGTCCAGCTGCTAGGTACACTCCTCTTACCTATGTGCATCGGCAGCCGCCCTCCCCTCATCCCCTCTCATTTCAGTCACAGGCAGACCCCTGCTCCTGTGTTTGAACCTTATTGCCTCCTGCTTTCTTGCTATGTCTGCCATATCAGTTATCTTCTTTCTACTCTATCCCTAATCTCTTCCTTTCTACTCCTTTTGTCCCTTTAGCACTTGGACATACTGAAGTAGCTCTCATCTTAGAAATAATTAATATCCATGAACCTTCCTTCCTTTTTTTTTTTTGAGTTTCCTTAGTTAATGTTTTTTCAACCTCTGGTGTGTCATAGATCCACTTCTTGAAGAATAATCCCTCTGCCTCATTTCCTTGTCTCTGCCTGTTCCTTAGCGCAGTGTATTTTGTTTCTCTCTCTGACACTTCTTCACCAAAGTGATAGCACTCATATTTCAGATGCTCACATTAGGCTGGTCAGCACTTCTATGGAGATTTAGCATACTTGACCTCTCTTACATTCTCACTTTCTCCAACAGCATCTTGCCCTTGACTTCCTTCCACATCCTTTGGGTTTCTTTTCAGTCTCCATCAGACTTTTCTTCCTCTGATGTTTCTGAAATGGTCATATTTCCAGAGTCATCTTAGCTCTCTTCGGTTCTCACTTGGCATAGAGGTTTTCACTAGAGAAGCAGAACCAGTCAGAAATGTACATGGTAAGAGATTTGTTGCAATGAATGGACTTATATGAGTATGGGGCTGGCTAGGCAAGCCTGGAGCCCATGGGGCAGGCATTAAGTAATGCAGACTGCCATCCCCAGGTGGAATTTTGTCTTTCTTAGGAAAGCTTCAGCTCTGTTCTTTAGGCCTTTCAACGGTTTGGATCAGGTCCGTTCGATTATATAACATAATGTCCCTTGTTTAAAGTCAACTGATATTCGACTTTAACTACATCTACAAAACACCTTTACAGCAACACCTACGTGAATGTTTGACTAAATAGTTGGGGAGTGTAGCCTGGCTAAGATGGCACATCAAACTGACCATCACACTCTCAATGGCATCATCCAGTCCTCTGGCCATAACATTCAGGGGAATTCTAACCAATTCTAAATCTGTGAGTCTCTCTCCCAGGTACTCATACTTAGCTACAGACTCAGTTGGCCCCCTTCCTTCTGGGTGGCTCTATATAATTATCTTACAAGTACCTCAGGTGTCCAGAGCATGTTCCTGTATTTATTTGCAAGGGCTGCTACAGCAAAGTATGAGAGACTATATGGCTTAAACAGCACATATTTATATTTTGTGCTTCTGGAGGCTAGAAGGCCAAAATCAAGGTGTTAGCAGGGTTGGGTTTCTTCTGCAGCTTCTCTCTTTGGCTTGCTGATTACTGTTTTTCCCTATTTCTTCACATGGTCTTCCCTCTGTGTGTGTCTGTGTCCTAATCTCTTCTTACAAGGACAACAGTCGTACTGGATTAAGGCACACTTTAAAACCCCATTTTATCTTAATTTGACCTCTTTAAAGGCCCTATATTCCAATATAGTCACATTCTGAGGGATGGAGATTAGGACTTTAACACATGAATTTGGAGGGTGGGGACACAATTCAGCTATAAAACATTTCCTATT